GGTCCCCAATTAGTGCTGGAATTCTCAGATGTTCTGTGAAAAAGTCAGCATAACTAACTTACCGTAGTTTTACGCTCTGTGCTCTGGTTAACCTGGTTCTTTATTCAGCCAGTGACTTCGTTTTTTCCAACACCCTCTATCCCACCTTCTTGTTCATCGTGATCAGCGCAACGAATGCCTCGCGTTTCTTTACAATGAGATTATTCACTAGGCCTATAACCCAACTTGCAGAATTGCTGAATTTCATTGTTTCAGAGTCAGAATTTTCCTCTTGAAAAAGTCTGCTACCAATTACATGACTTTGAAGGGCTGGATGAGCTGAACGGCTCAAAAAGTCAACGGTAAGGGCATCATACCCCTACCGTAGTGCGCTACTTGGCATTCTATCGCTTCTACCCGTCATTCAGCATACGTCTTAGAAATTCCTTTCAATCCCTCTGATTGCTCACTTGCTCAAATTTTTGAAGCCAGCCATAGTTCTGCCTAGCAAGCAACTTCGACTGCATGATTATCCTTTCTGCTCAGCAGCTAGCAGTGTGGAAACTCCTATCATATACTGTAGTCAAAGAGCCGACCGCAGGTTCTGTAAAATAATGTGTATTAATTCACTAACCTTAGCTTTGGCTTAGATGGCTGTTCAAGCTTAGTTCATCAATAGAAATATTGAAAATCCCTTAAGCGAAGGCGTCTGCATTCCAGTTTCAGTTCAACCGCATTCAAATTAAAGAAGGGGTAAGAAGAATCGAAAAGAGTAACGTACGATTGGTTCACGGTGTCTGGCCATAAATAGCTCATAGCTTATCAGTATTAATGGTAAAATATTTATTCGATTTCCACAGAAGAGTCATGTAAACAAGGATTTACTAAATTGAAATTTTAATTAATTCTTGGTCAACAATCAACTTTTGCAGCTGCTATTCAAGAAGAACGAGAAAAGACTACTAATGTGTGGACATAATCTTTTCATTCCTTGTCAGTCCACCTCAGCAGACGAAAAGTGGGACGGTTTTTATAATCGCTCCATCTCGTACTTGTTGGGAAGGTGGCAGACCCATGTCTTGCTATTCGAGATAACATTTGTATTTTGGCAGCTCTCTGATGTGGAGATATCGTTCATGATACAGTAGGCAGGCTATAGTGAATAATAATAAAGTTGTTCACTTCAATAAAACTTGTCCCGCTTCAGAATTCATAAAGTAAAAGCTTATTTTACTCATTGTATACCACTCGTTTCCGTCGTGACATCGACGATTACGGCTCCGAGGTAGGGAGTAGGAATTGAGTTAATCAAAATTTCGTATATACTTATATTGCTCAATTGATCCTATGAACGATAAGGATTGAATTGCGTATAATAATTATGTTTGAAAGCCGGAATTAGAAAGGAAATAGGTGTGCCCTGTAGTGATTGGAAGATCACCCAGTTAAACAATGAGAGCTTAAACTTGATAGACAGTAGAAGCCCTCACAGCAATGGTAAACAAGTGCCTTAATTGGTCTACGAATGAAATCCGGGGAAGGCAACAAAAACCGGTTATATGATGATCGGCGATGATGATACTTATTTGTATGGGGCTCAATTCATAACATCCAAGAGGACTCATAATATGTTTCTTTCACTGCCAACGTAATACTCGTCTCTTCCGCATATATGCGTTGCAGAACCATAACTAGAAAGCAGTACCTCTGGACATGATATTGTTTGATTAGGTGCTTCTACAGCCATTCGCAATGTATTATATCGTCGTCATCCTAGCAGCGCTATGAATTAAAGGCAGAGTTAACGATAAAAATGGTTTCTGAAATTTCCCTATTGTACGAATTGGAGGCTCTCCCTTATGCCATACCTCTCGTTATAAGTGCGAAAAACGTGCTGGAGAGGGCACAATAAGGAACCAGAGATTGTATCGCGTAAATCCCACACCACTGGCTTTTTAAAGGTTGCGCCATTCATAAGGGAACCAAAGTAGGAAGTTCAAACAACTTGACATGACCCATAGCTACAGAGAAAGGCAATTCTGGACAGCTATGTCTTGATGTAGTCAGCTCTTTGCGCAAAGGGAGCAAGTTAAATCTCGTCTTAACACCCCTTATATGCCATTTACGTTACGGTGATCTAGTACAACCTCCACTTCCACTACTTTTGAAAAGCATGAAGTAAGCGGATTCTCTTGCTTTCATCGCCACCGATGTACTCCTTTACATCAACACTTCCGCTTTTCAACCTAAAAAGGGTACCTCAGAATTGTCGCAAACTGTGCCTTAAAGAATACATAAATTGCTTGTACCCTTGATTTAGAAAAGTTCAAATTCAATCGTAATCACGCAAGAGCAAATCGTCAGTCAACTTTTAAGATGTTTGATCTTCTGAAGTTACCTCTCTTGTCTGAATATCGAAGCTTTTCTCACACAATGAATCAGTCGGGGCAGGTATTTATCATCGATAATTGTAGATGCCAGAGAAGATACTATAGTAGAATAGCAATTATTACCTTCTATAAGTCGTTGAATGTAACTCATGACACTATGTAGCATTGTCTCAGAGGTGCTAATTTTTAGGTGAATCAGAGAGGGGATTTGTCAAGAGTGACTCTCTCATTGAATACATTCCCTCACTATGGCTTTGCTGTAAACGGCTCAGTTTGAATATTGCTCAGTAATCTTGAGAGTTTTGCTTGAGTACTTCTCATTATGGCCCATACTTGACTCTCTAAAGTAGTGCTTCTACTCGTACAATTTTTGACTTTTGAGAAACTGCCAAAAAATTTGAGCAGCCGATCTGAGGAAATGAACATAGAGACTATGTTATAATGGTTTTCTCGGAATATGTTACGATAGAAAAATGGACTAAGGGCCTCCTAAGCAAAGCCAGTTTATTATATTGTTTTGGTAACTGATCGCTGTTATTTCGCCGCAGTACGTGATCCGAAAGTCTTACAAGCTTAGCGATTTGTGGGAGAAAACTTCAGCATAGGACGGGACTTGCACTCGTTTTTCTTCTCTCTAAGCAGCATGACTTCATCATTTTCCTAATTTTTGAGGAAAATTCTCTGTTGCTTACAACACTACATAGCAGAGCCCTACATAGGATTTTTACTGAACAACTTTTTGTTGTTAAAATTTCTGTATATCGTATACGTTGGGAGTTTAGAAAGAATTTTTTATTGTAAAAGGCCTAGCATTATTTCAGGAATGACAAAGTCTTCACTTGATACTTGGAATTATGCATTGTTCTCACTTGAGTGCGCTCTCAACGTCGCATTCTTTCCAGTTGTTCTATTGGTTTTCTATATTTGCATATCACAAATGAATTTGCATCGTAACTTCAGGTAAAGTAGTAACGGATTTCCTTCGTTAGATCGTTTAGTGATCAACTTTATAGTTCACTTCAGCTTTTTTCCTTTCCATATAGGGCATGATCGCTTCATTCCAGCTACTTACTTTAGCTAGACTCTTTACGAAGGTCTTTATTTTTCTCAAAAAAGGAGCAATTTTAAGGAAGAATCGGCACAATAACAATCCTCATTCTTTGTAAAAATGATTCAAAAAATCCGGCCTCACGTGGCTGGTTCCCACATGAAAACCTTCACCTACTTGTGATTGCTTTTCGATGATTTGTTGGTTTCAAAACATTACCTGAAAATATAGCGCAGTGAGAATCTTTAAGAATTCTGTTTGGATGATCGGAGCAACTTCTAGCGACCGTACCGCTACCTGTAAAGTGTATAACTCTCAAATAATCCTATCAAACACAAAGAACTAGATTTTCCAGGGTCACCTTGTTCCTTATAGCTGTTGGATACCTTATTTCCGATATAACTCGTATAATTATCATTATATCGCGTATGTGTTGCATTGCATTGGATAATCCATCCAATATGGTGAGCTCGGATTATTTGTTTATCATAGTTTATCGGAACTAATTAGTGATAGTTTGGAGACATTTATCTCACTTGCAGATGACATTAATCCTGGTCCAAGGTAGTGGCATGTATCTATCTATGTTTGCATGGTTACTACTGATTATTGAAAGGGCTATCGCGTCAGTATTTGTTGGTGTTTATGAGGTTCAGTTCAGAGGTTATGTAGCACCTGCGATACTTTCTGGAGCTGTGGTAAGTTCAATTACAATTCCAATGAGTACAAATGAAATGGAACATAATTTGGGGCAAAGCCTAGGCAAAATTATGCCTGAGATAGGACTCGCACCATACTTGTGGTTTCTGGCCACCGAGCTTTCTATAACTTGCACTATCGAAACTTCGTGGAAAGTGGAAGTAGGATCTTCGCAGTATAAAGTACAAGGGGCACAGTACTGAGAAAGCACAATTATGGTTCGAGTGACGTCTCAGGCCGAAGTTTTGCCCCTAACTCATCAACCTCGTGAAATTTTCACATCAAACACTGTGGCAAAATGACAGCAAACAGCAAATTGACAAAAATAGCGAGTCGGATTCCTTTGATTAGGTTACCAGTCGATAGTTAGTACAAGACAGGCTTAGCGGTCGGTAGGGCACTTCACTAATTTTTGATTTTCGAATCATTAGGTGGCTTTGAAAGCATCAACCTAAGCCTCAAAGTGTAAGCAAGTATAATGCAGTGATGCATTATATTTGCGTACCATCCCTATGTATAGTAATATGTATGTACATCACAGAAATTTCTGCCCAGAATTCTGTAGATAACCAATACTTTGGAATATGTAATCACGGGAACTATTGAAAAACGCTTCAAATTTTTTGATTCAAATGTGATGCATGTTAATTCAGCTGTTTAACTATGTATGTACCATTATAGACAGAAGTGTTGCGTCATGAACTCTATCGAAAATTTCTTTTTTCAGCTCATGCTGACGGCTGTACTTCTGATTTTATCGTCTTTTCTGAGTGAGTGCCATATAGTTTCCATTATTTTCAGTAAAATTCATCAGAGCCTATTGTATCAAAGAAATTGATGGAAGCAAACTCTAAAAGGGTCAGGCTCGCTTCAGGTCACCTGTAGCTAAATTTACAGTAAACTTTAGCGGTTTGATGTGATCTAACTAGCTCACATCAATGCTTCCAGGTGCAGACATGAACTTCATCATAATGGGAATGCAGATAGGGATTGTGGCACTTTCTTTCACGGTGAGTACAGAAGTCTAGGTATCTATAGTAGAAGGCTTTAACATCTTTAATCTGACTAGAAGTGCCGCAAAAAAAGCAGATTTGGCTCAGAGAGGTTCCTTTCCCGTCCATGAATTTCTGATTACTCCCAGCATCATTACATAGTAACACCACCTGAAACCAAATTTCGCTATCCGCTATCTAGCCCAACCAATTGTCTGCTCATACTGTTTCTTTGCTCGCAAAAAACGGAGAACTTCTTCAGATTCTCCTTTTCAAGACCATATAGAGAACGTCACACGTTGTTTTCTGATCTAGAGATGTTGAAAAATATGTAGCTCCAGCGACCTGATCATTACAGATTTATTACAAGTATGTATGAATCTTGCAGTCATTAATTTCAGGCCTTGATTGTGATTATCATTTTCAACAAGGCCTCGTACAAAAAACGACATGATGCACGGATTCAATTAGCCAGTCGATACCAACTGGATGAGAATATTCGGGTCGGAAGGTATCTGATCCCAGTCGCCTGTAACGATATGTTGACGAAGGTATTTTTATCAGATGAAGAAAGATGTTGAAAATAAGTCGTCGTCAGGTTCCATTCCATTATTTTAAGCCATTTGCTATCAGTAAGTATCAAGAGCTTTTCCATCAACTCCTCTCCATGAGAGCGAACAACTGTGTCTCTCGAAAAATCAGTGAAGACGCGATCAGGCTTACGCATAGGTGGACGCCTCAGCGAAGGACAAGCATGCGGGATCTCTTGAGAGTCTTACGGATGCTCGTCTACGCTCAATCCTCTGCCACGCGAGCCTGTTACTCTTTCGCAGGCCTTCGCCAATACGAAAAGTGTGTCTGTCTCTACAGTGCACTATTTTGAGTGCTACGTCTCCACTGAAAGCTTCTTCCACATTCTGGATCTACGGTGCACTACATATCCGTGACGCCGTGGGACCATATTGCAAGATACAGGATTACAACAGCTTTATTACAAGCCGGAATAACAAAGGAATTAAGTGAGCTCTGCAACGGCCACTAAGCCTTGCCAAGCAATTGTGAAAGTTTTTGAAATTATTATAAGTAATTGATAAGAAAGTATGTGATTGAAACGGGCAACCATATCGCGAAACCAGGAACAACTACGGTATGCTGTGGCGAATGAATGTATGCAAATATGTGCATAAATATTACAACCGAGCGAACCGTCCTCACTTGAGCTTGCATTGGGCAATCAGAAACTTCCAACATCCTGTAATACTTCAACTTACCGATCCATACACATCGGGTGCTAGTCAGATTTTGAGATGTTCCTTGTGTCGGTACGTTTGACTGCGGTACCTCCAGCACCGAATGTAGATGGCAGTAGTAGAGGTACTGCGATGCGTAAACTGAAACTCCTGCTGAAGCTCGAGTCAAAGGTGCGATCGGAGGCGACGGACGAAGAAACGCTATTCTCCCTTTAAAGTCGTCCGAAAGTCACGGCAGAGAAGTTCATTCGGTCACTTTTTTCCCTGGAGTTTCACTGCCTTATCTCTATGGTATAGTTTTCTGTGGACAAATCTTTGTCAATACTCGATCCGGACCTGAACTTTAGCTATAACAGCGCCTTTGCTTTTGTTCTAACATCCCATTGGGTTTAACCTCTCTTGACTATAGGCATTTTTGCAGGAGCAAATTCAACGTGATGCCTATTGCCACTTTGCTGACCCTTTTGAAATCCATCTAGAAGCTTTTATCTGTTTAGCTTGTTTTAAAGTGAAAAATGAAGTGTGTCGAATCTCTCAACGTCTAGAGGTTTGCATTGAGTGGCATGCCATGCTATGACTTGGAGCTATAAATTTCCTAAGACCAGAAAATATAAATTGATTAGTTTTATCGGAGAATCCAACTTCTTATGTAATCTAATTAAGATACTGTTCCTTATGCTGATAACATATTCGATTTTCTTTACGGACATCCCTCTTGGACAGGACACTACTCATCTTAGTCATGCCTATGACCTGGTTAGTTTTTTTACATTATTGAGTAGATTACTGTGAACTATTTGAAAAGGCGTATTTAGTTATCGGCATATCAACGAATGTTTTTTGGTCTAGCCTTGACCATACGCAGTGAGAAGTTCGATCACATTATGAAACGCAACAAAAGAACGGCTGCAGCGGTCCAAAATCAAATTGCTGCAACTTCTAACTATTATGATGAATTGAAACATATGTGGTGAAATGGAATCTCACCTTGGAATTGTTCTGTTTATGAAGTTGCTCACAGTTTTTGCCCATCAACTCAAATGTAACACAACTTTTATCATTCGATCTGCATTTCTGAAGAAGGCTCAATCGCTTCCTAGGGCACAACGGGATTGCTTGTTTATTCATATAAATGTGGGAAAACAATTTGATCAATTCTGGAATGAATCACATCCCATTGTATCCGACTCAGAGCCCTGTATGCTTCCCCAACAAAGAATAAAAGAAAGTAAGTTAGTAACAGACGATATAAGAAAAAGCTATAATATTTCACTGTAAAATTCGAGCTTTCTTCACCTCTTATGATCGCTTCCTTTGCCTTATCCTCTCATCGTATTTGAGGCTGGTCTCACCGAGATGGCGGGTTAACATAAAAATCGTAGTACTCTACTGAAAGAAGGAACTGTGTCGGATCTAGCTTACTGGAACCATGGTAACAATCGACTTCGAAGGAGTTCATTTTAACGGCTTTAGCCACCGGAAAAAACCGCTCCAATAAGAAAAAATAAAGGAAGCGAAAGAAAAATTTGGGCGGCGTTGGATCACAATTTATATATAAAAAGGATAAGACCCTGTTCCCTCTTTTTATTTTTTCCCTGGCCTCCGCGTCTTAATTGAATCGAGTTATGAATACATCTGAGAAGTACCACTTATTTTGAGAAAGCTCCGCCCACAGCTCGTTGGTCTCCTCGGTCTGGTTTGCTGACCCAATCTCCACCTTTGAACATTTTTCCCCGGTGTCTGGACTTTTCTGAAGCAAAAATAAGATGTTTGGCTCATGGCGCCGCCCATTTCTGCACTTGCCCCGCCGCTCGTGGGCGTGGCTACGCAGAGCTCATATCTGCTCTGTTAATCTTGTCTCAGGCTCCACCTATCCCGAACTTGTCCTGATCTCTCCAGGCGCTTCTTCAGATGATACCAAATTTTGTGACGGACAAACAAACAAACAGACAAACTGACAAACAGACATACCAAACTTGTGGCTTATATATAGTAAGGGTATATGCATATACAGTACCGTTCAAAAAGAAATCACCTTAAACCTTTTCTGGCATAACTCATCTCAAACTCAACCTTTTTACTGATTTTTTGACAGCACACTTTTCAAATATTACCAACTCTCCTGCGATGCAGAATTGGCGGTAGCTCACCTCCGGGCAAGTAAATGAATTTTTTTTTTGAAAAAATTGCGAAAGGGGCATGTTCTCAAGGTAGGTTTCATTGGGTTTTTCAAGTCTAAAAATTATGGTGATTCTTCTATTCTGTTAGCTAATCGCTCTCAGTGAAGAGACAAAACTCTGGTTCTCGCTTTTTGACCGTGGAGCAGCTCTCCGCCATTGCCACGGAAAAAGTAGGAGTTGACCCATGCTCAACATCCAAGGCTGTTTGCCGTACCAATGCCTGCGATTACGAAGGCTATCAGAGGTATCGAGTCTCTCATAAGCCCAATCATGCGAGCCAGCTCGGGAAAGTTACGGATTGCCGCTCCTGAGGACG